AATGAGAAACATGGTCAAACATCTCAGTTAACTGAAAAATGACAAGAGGCCAGGCTTTTCACTTCCACTACCAAATAAGGGCAGGCCCAAAAATGAGTGACAGCACATCAGAATGCGCCCTAACACAATGTAACCGGTTTGTCCTAACTGCAGAGTTTACAGTACAGAATGCAACGAATAATTATGTGCTGTCATCTCTGTGAACGACATCATAGGCAACATAAATCGTGCTGGCTCGGAAAGTGCACTGAGTAGTCAAAATGACGCCTCGACCTCGAGCACTCTTCCAGAATCCATTCTTTAAACATCATATTCCAAATATCCAATACATAACAGCCTAAGTTTGTATTTGGTTAAAGTGGAAAGCAATTGTGACAAATGTATGCTGCTAAAGCCTAATACCACAGCTAATACCTAAATTTTTAGGGTTTCACGCTTCTTCGACCGAAAGTTGGCTCGAAACGGACAGACGCGCTGTTCCTGAATCGGTTTTGGTTTCTTTAATCAAACTGATCAGGCTGATGGTTCAGTAGCTTTCACTGGTCTGCGATCAGGATTTAGCGCACTCGGTCAGGAAATATGCTAGGCGTGGCTGTGATCACTGGTTCCATGTGAAGCGTCATGCGTCCACCCAGCGTATGGGAGGTATCATAGCATCTTTTACAAAACGAGGGGGGATAGACCCATGTTTAACTCAATGGATATGTCAAAGGTATTGAAGTCCAACTCGATTCCTTTTCTCCTTATTTAACACCTGATTTACTTAACAAAAGGCACATCTCAATAGGTGGTCCAGGTATGTCATGAGTCCCAAGTCGGGGGGTGCAGGGCATAGCTGAAAAATCGGAATAAAACAAATATATTTTATCCGGAGAATATTTATTTTTCTGTATTCTGTAGCGCGGGCTACAGAAGGAGAAATATATATTTTTTTTAAACACAGCACCCCCCCACACATATTCTGAAAGCTATGGGGGGGACGGGGTTGTTCTCTATTGTTCCTCAAGCAACGGGGGAGACTGATGACATACTGTATCAGACCAACTCCTTGAATTGTAAAAAATAAAAACTATTTTTTTTTAAACTATTTTGCTCCAAACATTTTTTAACCCTTTAGTGTGTGTACTCATACTTGGGATATCGCTTTTCAAAAGGAAACGTGCAGAAATCATTGGAGGACGTATTTAATGGATATGCCTTTCATGTATTCAGGTATTAAATGTGGGTTGATGCCCCCCCCCCCCCAATATCAAACAATAGCTCTTCCATAATCAGGAAACCATAACATTAATTAAATGTTTATTTTCACCCCATCTTTAGTCAGGGATAGAGACCGAGAAGAACTTGAAAGCCAGTGAGGAAACACTGCCTGCAGCCTCAAACTATCCCTTAAAGCCACAGATCTCCCATACCACCAACACACTGACAAACAGCAATATAATAAAGACAGGGCAGTTTAACAAAATGTTTGCTTTATTCTTATCCAGGACAACTCATTCAGAATGATCAAGGAGAAATAAGCACTATATTTTTGTTTTACATTGTCGGAGATGGTGCTTTATCTGAATTGGTCAAAGTAAAACAAAATATTGACTATATAATAATACATTCATCAATACAACATGTGTGGAGTTAATGATAATAACAACAGCCCTGAAATATAGGGTATTCTGTGGTAATCACCGGCACTGAATCAATCAACAACAGTAGGAGAGCATTCAGGAAGGACTGAACTCCAAAGAGGAAACACTTTTTATTGAAATAATATTTTATCAAAGCTTCTGTTTATCTTCATAAAATGTTTCTAAAACTTTTCTGTAAACCTTTTCATTTTGGGGGGGCATTTTAAACTTTTTATTTCCTCTTTTTAATTTGTTTCTTCTTTTTCACCAGGTGTCTGTTTTTGCAAGTGTTGGTGGTGCCTGTGTGTGCATGTGTCCTTGGCTGAGGTTTGCCTGTGTGTGCCTGTGTGAGAGAAAAAAGGGCAAGCCTGTATGTGATGTCCTTGCTGTGCTATGGCGGTGTTAGGGTGGTAGCAGCAGGGACATTGCTTTTTCAATTCATACAGAGGCTGGAGCAGGTTCAAGCAACTAAGAATGTCTGTGTGTGATTTTTAGGTGTGAGTAGAAAGTGTGTGTACCTATGAGTGAGCTTATAAAGGAGTGTGTTGAGCTAGAAAATCTGTGTCAGGGTGTACTTCTACTATGTAAGTGGGTGTGTCTCAATGTCTATGTATCTGTTCATCAATGTAAATTTGCGAGTGTGTGCGTATGTGAGCGTGTGTGTAAGGCACGGAGAAGGGTGGTCATTTCAGGTCCATGCTGGAGCCGAACAGAGCCACCAGCTGCTCCTCGTAGTGGGTGATGTTCCTCTTCATGATCTCCTTACAGGAACCCAGCAGACGCTCAAACGCCTGAATGTCTATTACTGAAAAACACAGAGACCGAGACCGCATCACTCACACAACTGCACAACAGATAGATGGAGACATGGGCCTGTATTCATAAAGTGTCTCAGAGAAACAGTGCTGATCTAGGATCAGGTGCTCCCTGTCCATGTCACCTTATTCATTATGATGTAAAAAGCAACACTGATCCTAGATCGACACTCCTACTCAGAGATGCTTTATGAATAGTGTCCAATGGTAAAGGAATAGAAATACCTTCACACTGTTGTAGCCTATGCACCTGTATAGTTTATTTCCAACAGTTCTTTGCCATGCTTAGCATAACCACTATGGGTTGAGCCGGATTTAGACCTTCCAGTCAAAATATTGCAATAAAACTATAGTAGAGCATACTACTTTCCATTCCTTTCAAATGACAATTTTTGTACTCTACCCCTGGAGAATTGTTAGATGTGCGTACACTTTTGAACTCATAAGAGCTGAACATCTACAGTTGAAGTCTGAAGTTTACATACACCTTAGCCAAATACATTTCAACTCAGTTTTTCACAATTCCTGACATTTAATCCTAGTAAAAATTCCCTGTCTTAGGTCAGTTAGGATCGCCACTTTATTTTAAGAATGTGAAATGTCAGAATAATAGTAGAGAGAATGATTTATTTCAGCTTTTATTTCTTTCATCACATTCCCAGTGGGTCAGAAGTTTACATACACTCAATTAGTATTTGGTAGCATTGCTTTTAAATTGTTTAACTCTGGTCAAACGTTTTGGGTAGCCTTCCACAAGCTTCCCACAATAAGTTGGGTGAATTTTGGCCCATTCCTCCTGACAGAGCTGGTGTAACTGAGTCAGGTTTGTAGGCCTCCTTGCTCGCACGCGCCTTTTCAGTTCTGCCCACACATTTTCTATAGGATTGAGGTCAGGGCTTTGTGATGGCCACTCCAATACCTTGACTTTGTTGTCCTGCGCCTGAGTGGCGCAGTGGTCTAAGGCACTGCATCGCAGTGCTAACTGTGCCACTAGATCCTGGTTCGAATCCAGGCTCTGTCGCAGCCGGCCGTGACCGGGAGACTCATGGGCGGCGCACAATTGGCCCAGCGTCGTCCAGGGTAGGGGAGGGAATGGCTGGCAGGGATGTAGCTCAGTTGATAGAGCATGGCGTTTGCAACGCCAGGGTTGTGGGTTCGATTCCCACGGGGGGCCAGTATAAAAAAAATATGTATTCACTAACTGTAAGTCGCTCTGGATAAGAGCGTCTGCTAAATGACTAAAATGTAAATGTCCTTAAGCCATTTTGCCACAACTTTGGAAGTATGCTTGGGGTCATTGTCCATTTGGAAGACCCATTTGCGACCAAGCTTTAACTTCCTGACAGATGTCTTGAGATGTTGCTTCAATATATCCACATCATTTTCCTTCCTCATGATGCCATCTATTTTGTGAAGTGCACCAGTCCCTCCTGTAGCAAAGCACCCCCACAGCATGATGCTGCCACCCCCGTGCTTCACGGTTGGGATGGTGTTCTTCAGATTGCAAGCTACCCCCTTTTTCCTCCAAACATAACGATGGTCATTATGGCCAAACAGTTCTATTTTTGTTTCATCAGACCAGAGGACATTTCTCCAAAAAGTACAATCTTTGTCCCCATGTGCAGTTGCAAACCGTAGTCTGGCTTTTTTATGGCGGTTTTGGAGCAGTGGCTTCTTCCTTGCCGAGTGGCCTTTCAGGTTATGTCGATATAGGACTTGTTTTACTGTGGATATAGATACATTTGTACCCGTTTACTCCAGCATCTTCACAGGGTCCTTTGCTGTTGTTCTGGGATTGATTTGCACTTTTCGCACCAAAGTACATTCATCTCTAGGAGACAGAACGCGTCTCCTTCCTGAGTGGTATGACGGCTGCGTGGTCCCATGGTGTTTATACTTGCGTACTATTGTTTGTACAGATGAATGTGGTACCTTCAGGCATTTGGAAATTGCTCCCAAGGATGAACAAGACTTGTGGAGGTCTACATTTTTTTTTTCCAAAGAAGCACTGAGTTTGAAGGTAGGCCTTGAAATACATCCTCAGGTACACCTCCAAATGACTCAAATGATGTGAATTAGCCTATTAGAAGCTTCTAAAGCCATTACATCATTTTCTGGAATTTTCCAAGCTGTTTAAAGGCAGTCAACTTAGTGTATGTAAACTTCTGACCCACTGGAATTGTGATACAGTGAATTATAAGTGAAATAATCTGTCTGTAAACAATTGTTGGAAAAATTACTTGTGTCATGCACAAAGTAGATGTCCTAACCGACTTGCCAAAACTATAGTTTGTTAACAAGAAATTTGTGGAGTGGTTGAAAAACGAGTTTTAATGACTCCAACCTAAGTGTATGTAAACTTCCGACTTCAACTGTATCACCATGAGAGAGAGAGCATCACACAAACACCTGTTTGTCTGAGGGAAACATCTCTGCATTAGGTAGTGAGAGACAGTGAAGGAGGGATACTCATCTAGAACACTTACAAGTCAATAATCTACTGTTAAGAGATTCAGGTAGACAACAAACAGAAAATATCACTGTCACACTGATGGACACCCACTCAGAGCCCAGGGCCTTTAAAATAAAACAGACACACACGTGTACATGTATGAAGTGGCCTTACCCAAGCACTTGACCTCTCCCACAGCGTACGCTGATGCAGCGCGGGGCTTGTTGGTGACCAGGGCCAGCTCCCCAAAGTACTGACCCCTGCTACAGCGGGTGATCTCCACCTCCGCATTATCCTCCTGGTTCACCTTCGTCTGGGGAAGAGAGGGGGAGTGAGAGCAGGGTACAGAAAAGGAGAGGACAGGATGGGTTGGGGCTGACCCCAAAGATTCACATCTATTCGGATTCAATTTGTTTACGCTGATATGAATAATATGTTGCCGATTTGAATATTCACAAAATGTTTTAGCATGGAGCACGAGCCACGGAGTGCCAAGGAAGCCCAAACGTGCTGTTCACTAAGCAATAGGCCATGTCTGCTGCAGAGAGATAAGACAGAGCCAGACCTGGGTTCAAATACATGCGTATTTAAGTATGTTATTTAAATACTTATTTTGTGTATTTTCAAATAATGTGGCCAGATCAGCTACTTCTATTCGAAGTATTTTCAAATAACTTGCTATAAATAGCCTAAACTATTTTCAAATACTTTTCTCCAAATACATTTTTTCAAATACCCCTAGGAACAAACAGACCTGGGTTAAAATACATGGAGTATTAAATATTTGTATTTGAAAATACACTTGTCTATGTATGAGTATTTTCAAATACATTCCAATATTCAACTACTTGAATTTTCTGAGACAAAATATCCAAATTACTTCAAAATGTCTTTGAAAGTAATTGAAATACCCTAAATATTATTTGAACCCAGCTCTGGATAGAGCCATGAGAAAATGAGTTTTGCTTAGTCATGGATATAAGATAGTACTTTTTTGATCCCCAAAGGGGAAATTTAATTGCACCAGCTAATGCATGACACCAAAACATAACAACAAATGCACAAGAATGGAAATACAGACACTAAAACGCAGCACATCAATGCGTTATAAAAAGTCAATGTTCAGATTAAAAAGCTTCACAGTGTAAAACGTTGTCTTACACTGTTCTGTTTTATATAAAAAGTGCTGGAAACAAAGGGTTGGCACACCATTTACTAAGAACTTATCAAATTGAGAAGCTATTAGGATGAGAAGGAGTTGACGCAGGTACAGCCGGCTAGTGCTAGCTAACATTAGGAACCATAGTTACTTAGCTAGCTTAAATATGTTTTTCTTTTTTTTGGGGGGGGGTACAACATTTTGTGGATTGTAGATTTGACAAATATTCTAATTCGAATCACAAAATGTTGGCATTTTTTTTAAAGGATTGCCGTGCTCAACCTTTATTACTATTCATATTAATAATACTATTATAATTCATATTATTAGTCATACCATCTTTGTCTTTCGGTGCAGGGTTGTTAAGCAGTACATATGAGAAAAAAGGAGAGAAAAACACAGGGTGACGAACATAAAACAAAGCAATTTTTCCACATTCTCTGATGAGGCAGAAATGAGGAGGATGAGAAAAGAAGGAAGTACTCTTACTTTGCTCTTCATCATAATCTTCACATCTCCAGACTCCACAATGTAGAAACAATCTGCCCTGTCCCCCTATACAGGAAGACAAACCAACAGGAACCGTTTACAATTGTCCATGATCATCATTACCAGTCAGCTTTACAGTAATACCAAGAGAACCTTGGAGAACGTCATACCTGCATGATGATGCGTTCTTCATCTGAAAACGTCTTCATTCCTAATACATCCACAATCTTCATCCTCTCAGATAACTGCGAGAGAGAGAGGTTTGATAAGGAAAAGCAAAGGGAGGTGTCCATATCCACTTAATATCAGTGCTACATTTTTCACTGTCGAGCTTCCTCAACTCCATCCCTCCCTATCCCCTCCCCTCCCTATCCCCTCAGATCCCCCATCCCCTCCGCTCCTCCTCCCTCCCATCCCCCCCTCCTTATCCCCTCCCCTCCTTCCCACCCCCCTCCTTATCCCCTCCCCCCCACCCCCTCCGCTCCCCCTCCCATCACCTCCGCTCCCCCTCCCTCCCTATCCCCTCCCATCACATCACCTCCCCTCCACTCTGCTCCCCCTCCTTCCCTCCCTCCCCCTCACCTCCAGAGACTTCAGTAGGGGCACAGACTCAACAAATTGCTCGTACAGCCTCCTCTTTTTGGCGTTGTTCTTCACAATGAGCCTACGGAACGTAGCCCGGTCCTGGTAGTGCACACAGACAGCAGTCGTCACGGTCACACAGACAGCATCAGTCACGGTCACATAGACAACAAGATTACACAATCACACAGACACAAGCCATTTAATTCTCCTGCTATAGGTTACATATCTAACAGATGAAAGGTATGGATAGACCTACTAATCTTCTATCTTGATTAATAATACAGAATTTATTGAACTTTTATAGCGCTTTCATTACATAGAGTCTTAAAGGACAAAGAATCTCAAAACACAAAATCTAAGAGCTATCTACTACACATTAAAGACCCACTCCAGCCTCCCTAGCACCTAATTTATCACCTGAACGGGAAAAGTAAAAAATAGCTGGAGCGGGTCTTTAAAAACACAGAACAAAACAGTAAATCCAAAGACAGTACAGAATTAAGACAGGCTAAAACTGCTTCTCCAACAGAAATCCCAGATCAGACTTGTAGGCGATGTCATGGCGACGTTGGCTAACTAAGCTTATGAGTAGAAACACATCATCGGGTCTAACGGTTGTCTCATGCCGAAATGCGCATTTGTGCAGGCAGTAATAAAATAAATTTAAAAAAGGCACTCCTTTGATATGAAGTAGTTTTTGACAAAAATGAAAACATGTCAGTTTGTCAATCTCACGAGGTTGGAGTAATAGCATATTCAACTAATTTAAGACATGGGCTCAAATCTAGGTTGTGCCTTTAGATTGAGAAAATTAACAAATAAGGGGAAAAAATTAACTTCTCTCATTTACTTCTCAAACCCCAAACACTGGCCTGGTCTGTTTGTCAAGTGTTCGCAGAAGTCTTGCAATGTTGCGCCTCTGGGTTTAGAAACTCTGTGGTAAATCTTGTATCTGTAATATATGGCCATTATGTTACTATTCTCCCTAGTGTCCACAGGGAGGTGCTGTGGCAGAGCACAGCAGTGAACCAGAGGTCAAAGGGTCAGGGCAGTGTGTGCGTGCGCGCGCGTCTCACCAGGCCCCAGAGCGCCCCCTCCTGGGTGGCGATGATGGTGGCAGCACGGGGGGTGTTGTACATCAGGGCCAACTCCCCGAAACTGCCCTTGTTGTCATACTGGCCCACACACTTTCCTACACCATCAATCAGTACCACTATGTCATAGATTCCTCTGGAAGAAGAAGAGGGGGAGGGAGAGAGGGGGAAGGGAGAGAGCGAGAAATTAATTATCTTCTAATAATACTTGAGCTCTCTAAAAATGTATTGTGTATAGCAATAACATACAAGATATTTGGAAACTACGCAGACTAATCTTCATCTACAATAAAGTTGATCACAGATCTAAATCTGCTGCATGCATGTAAGTGATAGTTTAAAAAATGTTTGGCGAGTATTGGGCTCCACTCTTGGAATTAACCAACCAGGGGGAGGGGGACTAAGAATACTAGGAGTTCAGTTCTGTGAATTTCTTTAGTCTTTTTGGATGATACACCACCTGATTGGCTGCCTGGGTTGCATTGTGCTGTGCCGCGGTAGGCAGTGGAGCATTAACTTTGTTTGGGGGCATTAGTATGATGATCACTTGGCTATGTAGGTGACCAGGGGTTTCCCATGAGGCTTTGCAAGGCAGCACATAGGGAGGGAATAGGTTTTAACATGCTTATGACGTGCATCTAGCCCTAAGCCTCCCAGGCTGAGGCACTAGCATGACTGAGGAGGGAGCTTAATGTGCAGAGAGAATAAGCCCACTCATATGCTGCATCCCAAATGGCACCCTATTCCCCATGTAGTGCACTTCTTTTGATCAGGGCCCATAGGGCTCTGGTCAAAAGTTGTTCACTATATAGGGAATAGGGTGCCATTTGGGACGCACCCATTAAGCCTAGGCCCAGGACACACGGCGGAAACAACAACTAGAAAATAAGGCTCAAGTGGGACTTGTTGTAAAACGGCCAATTATATTGTGGTGTGTTTGGTATGAATGCTTCTTTCTAGTGAATGCCTTGATTGTAAGGATTCCAAAGTAACTGTGCATGCACACACACACACCTCTCGATAACGTAGAAGTTGTCTCCGTCGTCTCCCTGGTCGATGACATGCTCCTGGGGCTGGACACGCAGTTCAAACATGGCGTCCAGGACTTCTGAGAACTGTTCCTGTGAGGGAGGAGAGGGCCAGGCGGGGAGGGGAAGAGAGGATGATTGAGAACAAAGGGATTAATGAAAGGACAGCACATTCACGGTCTGAAAAAAACAACTCAACTTAATAATGGACAGAGTGAGTCGTGCCTGTCTGGCAGCTTGTGTATTACTGTGTGTTACTGAGTGTACCAATAAGTAACAGGACATTCGGGTGGGAACCTTTTATTCCAAAAGACTGAACAACTCATTTCAATACGGTTGAATGTCATGAGTTATGCGTCAATGTATTTGTATTTATTATGGTTCCCAATTAACTGCTGCCAAGGAAGCAGCTACTCTTCCTGGGGTCCAGCTAAATTAAGGCAGTTACACATTTTAAAAACATTCATAACAGATTTCACAACATATTAAGTGTGTGCCCTCAGGCCTCTACTCTACTACCACATATCTATAACACAAAATCCACGTGTACGTGTGTATAGTGCGTATGTTATCGTGTGTTTGTATGCATGTGTCTATGTTTGTGTTGCTTCACAGTCCCCGCTGTTCCATAAGGTGTATTTTTATCTATTTTTATTATTTTTTTTATCAGATTTTACTGCTGGCATGAGTTACTTGATGTGGGGCGGCAGGTAGCTTAGTGGTTAAGAGCGTTGTGCCAGTAACCGAAAGGTCGCTGGTTCTAATCCCTGAGCCGACTAGGTGAAAAATCTGTCGATGTGCCCTTGAGCAAGGCACTTAACCCTAATTGCTCCTGTAAGTCGCTCTGGATAAGAGCGTCTGCTAAATGACTAAAATGTAAATGTAAATGAATAGAGTTCCATGTAGTCATGGCTCTATGTAGTACTGTGCGCCTCCCATAGTCTGTTCTGGACTTGGGGACTGAAGAGACCTCTGGTAGAATGTCTTGTGGGGTATGCATGGATGTCCGAGCTGTGTGCTAGTAGTTTAAACAGACAGCTCGGTACATTCATCTTGTCAACACCTCTTACAAAAACAAGCAGTGATGAAGTCAATCTCTCTTCCACTCTGAGCAAGGAGAGACTGACATGCATGTCATTAATGTTAGCTCTCCGTGTACATCCAAGGGCCAGCCGTGCTGCCCTGTTCTGAGCCAATTGCAATTTTCCTAAGTCCCTCTTTGTGGCACCTGACCACTTGACTGAACAGGCAGTCCAGGTGCGACAAAACTAGGGCCTGTAGGACCTGCCTTGTTGATAGTGCTGTTAAGAATGCAGAGCAGTGCCTTATCAGACAGACTTCTCCCCATCCTAGCTACTGTTGTATCAATATGTTTTGACCATGACAGTTTACAATCCAGGGTTACTCCAAGCAGTTTAGTCTCCTCAACTTGCTCAATTTCCACATTATTCATTACAAGATTTAGTTGAGGTTTAGTGAATGATTTGTCCCAAATACAATGCTTTTAGTTTTAGACTAACTTATTCCTTGCCACCCATTCTGAAACTAACTGCAGCTCTTTGTTAAGTGTTGCTGTCATTTCAGTCGCTGTAGTAGCTGACGTGTATAGTGTTGAGTCATCCACATACATAGAGACACTGGCTTCACTCAAAGCCAGTGGCATGTCATTAGTAAAGAGTGAAAAAAGTAAGAGGCCTAGACAGCTGCTCTGGGGAATTCCTGATTCTACCTGGATTATGTTGGAGAGGCTTCCATTAAAGAACACCCTCTGTGTTCTGTTAGACAGGTAACTCTTTATCCACAATATAGCAGGGGGTGTAAAGCCATAACACAAGTTTTTCCAGCAACAGACTATGATCGATAACGTCAAAAGCCGCACTGAAGTCTAACAAAACAGCACCAACAATCTTTTTATCATCAATTTCTCTCAGCCAATCATCATTAATTTGTGTAAGTGCTGTGCTTGTTGAATGTCCATCCCTATAAGCATGCTGAAAGTCTATTGTCAATTTGTTTACTGTAAAACAGCATTGTATCTGGTCAAACACCATTTTTTCCTAAAGTTTACTAAGGGTTGGTAACTGGCTGACTGGTCGGCTATTTGAGCCAGTTAAGGGGGCTTTACTATTCTTAGGTAGGGGAATAACTTCTGCTTCCCTCCAGACTTGAGGGCACACACTTTCTAGTAGGCTTACACTGAAGATCCACAACCTATTAGAACAGAAGTGCATATGACTGTGTGGCCCGTTATACTTTAATAGCGTGATGGGGTTTCTGTCACTGTGTGGTTACAACATGTCCGTCTCATCTTCCCACCTGTTCCAGGGTCTTGAACAGTAGAATATCTTTGCAGGCGTCCTGCAGTCGACAGCGCTGCTCGTCTGTTTTAGGATGCACCACCCTCGGCTCCTCCACCTCGTCATCGTCGTCTGGGTTAAAGGCCTCTGCGCACACTGGTGTGGGAACACTTCGATTTTAACAAACACTGGTGTGGGAACACTTCGATTTTAACAAACACTGGTGTGGGAACACTTCGATTTTAACAAACACTTGGTGGGGGGTAACAATAGAGAGCTCGCCAGCTTGTAGTCCTAAAAAAACGGAAATGAGTTACCTCTGGTTTGTTCGGCCATTCCTATGGGGGAAATGAATGGTGAAAGAATGGGCTTTTGGGATAAATGCGGAAATTAAGGTCTGAGGTTAACACAGGCTTAGGAGATGTTATATGCTTTGTTCTATGAGATAATATCAGTCAGTTAACATGACCTTTATGAAGCCTTTATGTGCTATATGTGCTTGTTTTGATTACATAAATTATTCAAAATTTACAAAAGGTTAGATCTCCTAAGCCTGTGTTTACCACAGACCTTAATTTCGGTGTTTATCCAAATACGCCATTCATTTCCCAATAGGCTTTGGCCAATGAGCCATGGCGGAGTTAGTGCCTACAAAAAGATGCCATTACTATTACTGTTTAGATTGTAACAGATGCTGGGAGAACAATATTACTCTAACACTTCAATTGTAACATGGTGGGGTGAAGAGTTATAAGTTATACTGTAACACACATACTGGGCCAGGGGGTACAATATTACTGCAACACAAACTTCGGACCAGAATCAATGCACCGAAAGACTCATAGTAAGGCATTACTCGGTGTGCTAGTCACAAAGAGGGAAAACATTGTAAAACACGCTCCAGGGGATTTATATCAGTGTGACACACCCCTAGTAGTTATCAGTGTTCAGTGATGCACTAAGACAACCAGTAACTTAGTGTCAACACCAAGCAGGCATAAAGAGGGCGGGTAAGATTACACCAGATCAAAGCACAAATATTGCTGCTGCAGATTACATTAGGGCAGTGGTATTCAAAGTCGGATGGGTGACCCCAGGAACTGCAGTGGGCTCGGCAAAAAAAGATATACACAGTGCCTTCAGAAAGTATTCATACCCCTTGACTTATTCCACATTTTGTTTTGTTACAGCCGGAATTCAAAATTGATTAAATATTATTTTTTTTCCCCCTCACCCATCTACACACAATACCCTATAATGACAAAGTGAAAACATTTTTGTAGAAATGTTGGCAAATTTATTGACACCCGAGTCAATACTTTGAAGCACCACCTTAGGGGGCGATTACAGCTGTGAGTGTTTTGGGGTAAGTCTAAGAGCTTTGCACACCTGGATTGTACAATATTTGCCCATTATTCTTTTTTAAATTCTTCAAGCTCTGTCAAGTTAATTGTTGATCATTGCAAGACAGCCATTTTTTAAGTCTTGCCATAGATTTTCAAGCCGATTTAAGTCAAAACTTTAACTAGGCCAATCAGGAACATCCAATGTTGTCTTGGTAAGCAACTCCAGTGTATATTTGGCCTTGTGTTTTAGGGTATTGTTCTGCTGAAAGGTGAATTCGTCTCCCAGTGTCTGGTGGAAAGCAGACTGAACCAGGTTTTCCTCTTATAGCTGTATTCCATTTATTTGTATCCTAAAAAAAACTCCTAGTCCTTCTCGATGACAAGCACATACCATAACATGATGCAGCCACCACCATGCTTGAGATATTTTTTGCAGTATTACTTTAGTGCCTTGTTGCAAACAGGACGCATGTTTTGGAATATTTTTTTTTCTGTACAAACTTCCTTCTTTTCACTCAGTCATTTAGGTTAGTATTGTGGAGTAACTAGAATGTTGTTGATCCTTCCTCAGTTCTCATATCACAACCATTCAACTCTGTAACTGTTTTAAAGTCACCACTGGCCTCATGGTGAAATTCCTGAGCAGTTTCCTTCCTCTCCAGCACCTGAGTAGTGACTGGGTGTATTGATACACCATTCAAAACAGTAACTAGCCGGTGCCCCCGCACATTGACTCTGCACCGGTACCCCCCTGTATATATAGCCTCCCTACTGTTATTTTATTTTACTTCTGCTCTTTTTTTCCTCAACACTTTTTTTGTTGTTTTATTTGTACTTTTTTTGTAAAAAAATAATGCACTGTTGGTTAAGGGCTGTAAGTAAGCATTTCACTGTAATGTCTGCACCTGTTGTATTCAGCGCATGTGACCAATACAATTTGATTTGATTTAATTAATAACTTCACCATGCTCAAAGGGATATTCAGCTTCTGCCTTCTTTGCGAAGCATTGAAAAACATCCCTGTCTTTGTGCTTGAATCTGTGCTTGAAATTCACTACTCGATTGAGGGACCGTACAGATAATTGTATGTATGCGGTACAAAGATGGGGTAGTCATTAATCATGTTAACCACTATTATTGAACACAGAGTCCATGCAACTTATTATGTGATTTGTTAAGCAAATTTTTACTCCTGAACTTATTTAGGCTTGCTTGCCATAACAAAGGGGTTGAATACTTATTGACTCATGACATTTCTGCTGGTTTTTTTGTATTTTAAATTTTTTGTTTTTAAATGTTATACAAACAAAATCCCACTTTGACATTATGGGGTATTGTGTGTAGATCAGTGACAAAATCTCTATGTAATCAATTTTAAATTCAGGCTGTAACAACAAAATGTGGAAAACATAAAAGGGGTGTGAATACTTTGTTATTGAGAAAGATAAACAAATAAAAATAAAGAGTAAATGTATGTATTGGTTCTAGAGAGATTAAAATGTAGCCTAATCAATTGAAGGTTATTTTTTTATGTGAAAATAACAATTTCCAGATTTTCTGCCATTATATTTGGGGGTGGCGTCGGCAGCATTTCTGCCGAGAAAAATTGGGTCCCAAGAAATTGGGCAAAAGAAAAAAACAGTGTCGCTGCTGAAAAGTTTGAATACCACTGCATTAGAGAGTAGTGACGTCAAACAGGACTCACCTGACACTCTCCGGTTATATCTGCTGGGAGGAGGGGCTGGAGAGAGGGAGGGAGAGAGTTAGTGAACACTCTCCTGTTCACACATCACTGCAACTGTAGAGCCTAGGGTTACGACCTCTGACATCGCTAGCATTCTTGAACCGGCAAAGAAAAACTCCTCAAACACATGAAATGAGACCGGACCGACACACGTACCCACAATCTTCTACACGCTGAAATAAAGTCAGACAAAATATAACACAAAAGTCTATTAAAACTGTCTGACTGGAAAAAAAAAGCACACCACCAAACCCACACACATTTCCTAAAGATGTACTCAGGTCGTGAATATGAATGTTTAATGAGCAAGGGGAAGAAAGCTACTGTGGGGGGGGGGGGGGGGGGGGGGGCAATGACAGAACAGTGTCAATAACACAGCCAAAGGTTCCCCTCTCCTGTCTCCCTTCACACTATTACCAAGCTATCAAAATCTATTAACTGGGCCATGTGAACGCAGGCCTAAAGGAGTCTGTCTCCCTCTCTCTCAGACTACAGCTTATTGAGCTCAATTCTTCCTCTTGCCCGATCTCTCTACATCTTTAGGACAGTCAGTCACATCTGGACCCATACTGTATGTATCAAGCGTCTTAGAGTAGGAGTCCTGATCTAGGATTAGGTTCCCCCTTGTCCGTGTAATCTTGTTCATTGTGATCTAAAAGGCAAAACTGATCAGAGATCAGCACTCCTACTCAGACGCTTTATGAATACGGGCCCTGGCCTCTTCACAACGGTCTCAAAAGGACTTGCAGGTCTGTCTGTCTCACTATGTTGAGTCTAACCTCACTCTCACTGGGTCACGTTGCTCACTTTAGCCCTTATCATACCAATTAGTGAGCACTGACTGAGAATGGTCTGTAGAACAGTATTTAAAAAAAGATACGCATGACTGCTTTCTTAAAAAGGGATGATTTGTTGTTTCACTTTAGTTAAATAAAGTGACGGCCAATGTGGCCTCTGTCAATCTGGCACAAAAGGAATCAGGAATTAATTAAAACAAGTGATTAATCATGCGAAAGGGAAAAGGTGTAACAGAAGGCTAGAGCTAGGCTACTTTATGTATTTTCAATCTGTATCGTTTTATTGTTTATTGATATGGCTCAGTGTTAGCTCTATATTCATAAATTGTTGCCGCCGCTCAAACAAATTTAGTCAATTAAGCCCTTTTTCTACTTACCCAGAGTCAGATGAACTCATGGACACCATTTTTATGTCACTGCATGCAGTTTGAAGAAAGTTGTTAACTAGCTTTAGCGCAATGCCTGAAAGTCTATGGGAACTGTTAGCTGTTCCTGTAGACTTGCAGCATGCTAGCTGTTCTCAGAATTCCAGTCATTGCGCTAACTCTAGTTAGCAATGGCTAGCGAAGCTACCTTCAAGCAGAGACATAAAAATGGTATCAATGAGTTATTCTGACTCTGGTAAGCTACATTAACATAAATGGTTGTTTCAGTGTCATTATAATCATTATGCTAAAGTGAAATACTGGGAACCGGGGGATGAGTGTAGCCTAAGTGTGCCATTGTGCAAGGACATGCGTGTTCGCATGTGCTGTGCGGTGTGTAAGGAGAGTGTGTGAAGTGCTCTTGCCTGTCATCACGTGGGGGATAGCAAGTGCCTGAAGTTGCCATGACAACAAAATACAAGGAAGACCTCATTGCCATAACAACCCCCCCCTCTTCCTCCTGAAACCACCTCTTCGTAAGTAACAGGTCAACCCTCTCTCGCTTTCCCCTCTCCCCAAACACCCACTCACAAAATCCCATAACAACGAGACGTTATCACCATCTGCTGGCCCTACTAATTGCAACTAGAGCTAAAGACGATCAAAGTGGTACTTGTTCGTTGAGCAGGCTTCCCTCACCCTCCCGCCTGTTGCTCTCTCCGGCTTTCTCTCCTCTCAATCTCCACTTGTCGTCTGCCAAACCCTCGCTCTCTCTTAGTCCCTCCCTCTTTAGCTCCCTCCCTGTTCATACCCCCCGCCCTACATTATTTATATATATATATATATATATACACACACACTGCTCAAAAAAATTAAGGGAACACTAAATTAACACATCCTAGATCTGAATGAATGAAATAATCTCAATAAATAGTTTTTTCTTTACATAGTTGAATGTGCTGACAACAAAATCACACAAAAATTATCAATGGAAATCAAATGTATCAACCCATGGAGGTCTGGATTTGGAGTCACCCTCAAAATTAAAGTAGAAAACCACACTACAGGCTGATCCAACTTTGATGTAATGTCCTTAAAACAAGTCAAAATGAGGCTCAGTAGTGTGTGTGGCCTCCACGTGCCTGTATGACCTCCCTACAATGCCTGGGCATGCTCCTGATGAGGTGGCGGATGGTCTCCTGAGGGATCTCCTCCCAGACCTGGACTAAAGCATCCACCAACTCCTGGACAGCCTGTGGTGCAACGTGGCATTGGTGGATGGAGCGAGACATGATGTCCCAGATGTGCTCAATTGGATTCAGGTCTGGGGAACGGGCGGGCCAGGCCATAGCATCAATGCCTTCCTCTTGCAGGAACTGCTGACACACTCCAGCCACATGAGGTCTAGCATTGTCTTGCATTAGGAGGAACCCAGGGCCAACCGCACCAGCATATGGTCTCACAAGGGGTCTGAGGATCTCATCTCGGTACCTAATGGCAGTCAGGCTACCTCTGGCGAGCACATGGAGGGCTGAGCGGCCCCCCCAAAGAAATGCCACCCCACACCATGACTGACCCACCGCCAAACCGGTCATGCTGGAGGATGTTGCAGGCAGCAGAACGTTCTCCACGGCGTCTCCAGATTCTGTCACGTCTGTCACATGTGCTCAGTGTGAACCTGCTTTCATCTGTGAAGAGCACAGGGCGCCAGTGGCGAATTTGCCAATCTTGGTGTTCTCTGGCAAATGCCAAAGGTCCTGCACGGTGTTGGGCTGTAAGCACAACCCCCACCTGTGGACGTCGGGCCCTCATACCACCCTCATGGAGTCTGTTTCTGACCGTTTGAGCAGACACATGCACATTTGTGGCCTGCTGGAGGTCATTTTGCAGGGCTCTGGCAGTGCTCCTCCTGCTCCTCCTTGCACAAAGGCGGAGGTAGCAGTCCTGCTGCTGGGTTGTTGCCCTCCTACAGCCTCCTCCACGTCTCCTGATGTACTGGCCTGTCTCCTGGTAGCGCCTCCCTGCTCTGGACACTACGCTGACAGACACAGCAAACCTTCTTGCCACAGCTCGCATTGATGTGCCATCCTGGATGAGCTGCACTACCTGAGCCACTTGTGTGGGTTGTAGACTCCGTCTCATGCTACCACTAGAGTGAAAGCACCGCCAGCATTCAAAAGTGACCAAAACATCAGCCAGGAAGCATAGGAACTAAGAAGTGGTCTGTGGTCACCACCTGCAAAACCAGTCCTTTATTGGGGGTGTCTTGCTAATTGCCTATAATTTCCACCTGTTGTCTATTCCATTTGCACAACAGCATGTGAAATGTATTGTCAATCAGTGTTGCTTCCTAAGTGGACAGTTTGATTTCACAGAAGTGTGATTGACTTGGAGTTACATTGTGTTGTTTAAGTGTTCCCTTTATTTTTTTTTGCAGTAATATATATATATATAAAAAAGAAGCCATGATAAAGTGGAAAAGGAATCAAATGCAAAAAGGAATTAAGTGGTTGTGCTCGCTGTCTTTGACAGTCCCGCTGTGCAGATGATCAGATCTCACAATACCTGGAGAAGTGTTTCTCTTGGCCCCACATGAACATGACAGAGCATCATCTCATATGCGCAGACAGAGTGACTGTTTATGAAGACAGGGCTGTGAAGCAGCAACCAGTGTCAATGGCCTATTGGGCAGAGCAGGAACACACAAGGACATTGAGAAGGGAAGTGTAGTTGTGTGGCTGGAGGGCGGGGGACTAGGGGGAGACTGGGGGTTAAGTCAGCACATGCTCAGTGTTGGCATACTGTTATGGTTAGAGCGCCGCAGGGACAGGACAGGGGAGTCTGTGTCTCCAAAACAACATGGCTGACCTTGCCACCGGGGCAGAGCCAGCCATGGAAGTAGCAGGGACAACAGAGGCGGCTAGCCTGGCAGGGAGCTCTCTCTTTCAGATACTGCCACAGCTGTACACACCTGACTCCCCATAAAAACAAAATGTATTGCAGTCAAGGCTGTCACGCTGCTCATGTCCCCGGGACCACCCATACGTAAAAATGTATGCACACATGACTAAGTCGCTTTGGATAAAAGCGTCTGCTAAATGGCATATTATTATTATAATGCCTGGAAAAGTGTATCATCATATCTCAGGAACCACATTAATAAGATATCGCCTATGGATTAAGAGATATATCTTCTGAGATACGCGGCAGCACAGCGGCAATAGATGAGCTGGAAGGCGAGCCCATAGGAATTGAATTAATAGAACAAGGTCCACCCATTATGCCATCATTGACTTGAATGGGGATACCCGTTCTATTCATTCTATTTCTATGGGCGAGCCATTGGCAGCATCTGAAATGGCTACTAATTCCTTATAATCAGCCATAGTGGACAGGGTGCCATTTCAGATGCAGCCATAGTGAACAGGAGTGAACAGGGTGCCATTTCAGACGCAGCCGTAGTGAATAGGGTGCCAACTCAGATGCAGCCATTGTGTCTGTTAGCTTGTTGTTGATGCTCCTCTGTTCTGATGCAGGACATCTCTTCTGCTAAGCTAATTGTTTTGACACAGCCTCCGAACCAGTAATCAGTGAGGCCCAAGCAGGATTGGGTAGTAACGGATTACATGTAACTGGGATTACGTCATCAGATGACAAAAATGAAGTAACTAATCTATCCAGATTAGTTACATTCTTAAAAACAGCTGATTACTTTTGGGATTACTTCACATCATGTCAAGAGGAAATGTTATAAAACTGTCATCATTGTTGTCATTTAGCGCACCATCAAGACTTCTCACATTCTCTCAAAGATTCTATTGTTCTGTTGATCGCCCATCAAGGGTGGATGGCCTCTTTTATGGTAATAGGCTATATTTCGAGTTGGCTATCTAGCTAACTACTTCCTCAGCTGGTGAATTAGCCTCAAATGAATTAGCCTATGTGATATTAGTGCCCAAAAAGATGTAGAATAATGAATGTCTATTTAACCCCCCCCAAAAAATATCTAACCATTCTGGAACCCTAATTGCCTAGTTATCATACACCGAATTCATGACAATCGCTGGTTTAGGTTGCACATCCAGATATCTGGAGTCATGCATTCGTGCTTGAACATGTTAGAATAAACTTTATTTCTTGAATCATACCATTTTAGTGGTCTAGTACACTTCTGAATGAAACACTTCGAATGACTTTATAAGACGATGAGGCTACAAATTTGTTCAATTGTGTATTGTGCAATTGTGGCGCAACCAAATCATGGGCTGGTGCCACCAACTGAAAATGTTAGTATGGAGCCCTGTGACTATGCTCTTACACATAGAATAGAACATGTGAATTATAGGATCTTTAGGATATGCTCTCACGCTAGTCCCCATTTGGAAATGCTTATGTTACTAAATGAAAAAATGCTGTTAGATTCATGTTTTAAGCATTAAAAAATGTGTCTGGGTGTTAGAAGTGAAAGTAATCCAAAAGTCATAGGATTACGTCGCTCATTTTGAGTAATCGAAAGGATTACGTTACAATTACTTAATTTTTCAAGCAACCGTCATCAGTAATAGACTACATTTTTCAAGTAACCCACCCAACTCTGTGCCCAAACCACAAGGAGACAAGATCAGCCTTAGCTCATACTTCACTATGTTACTGTTTTATACACATGGATGTAGCCTACTCACTGCCTGTCTCAAGAGGGCCCAGCTGTGTGTGGGTGTGTTGGTGTTTTTCCCCTGTATGTTTGTAGGCTAGGCCTGTCATTTGTATTTATTTAGCCAGGATAGTCTAACAATTGACACCGTTTTCCAGGGAGTCCTGTTCAATTTCAGCCCTGGTCTTGTTCTCACATACACAGACACGTACGTTAATGCAAACATGTTTCAAAAAGCCCTGATGATGGGTCAAGGAGCGTTGCATTGAGGACTAGGGGTGAATGAAGACCATGGCAACCAACAATGTGCATTTACATTTATAGACGTCACCAGTCAATGTGGCCCATCCCAAAGTGCAGTGCTCAGCACTCTTTGACAGCACTGTATAGACTAGTCAGTAGGCTTGTGTAAGGAGTAAATCCAATCACACGCACACATAGTCCAGTCCACCATTTTCCCTGAACATGAGGACGATGGTATAGCAAGATCACATATACAAGTGATCATGCACAGTGTTCTGCTTTACAGACTTAATAACTTTGTCATGTTTGAGTCATCTGTGGATGCAGAGTTTGTACACAAAAGCCTGTGATAAATTGCTGTTTTGGTACCAGATTGTATAGGCCCCGGCCACACACTACGAGGCATGCTTAGCGAGGAGTGCTGAAAATGATTTATCGGATGGTATGTCAGTGAAATTGCTAGGAAAAACATGTACTTATGGGTCTAATTTTCCCACACCCACCACAAGTTTACCACTGTATGATGGAGAATATAAGCATTATACACACACAAACAGTTGTGTTTCTGCTCTTAGCGAGAGGATTTCCACTACAAACTGGGGTACAAGAGATTACTCTGAATTTTCAGCTCGTCTTTCAACTGTTGTACTCACTGAAATTAATTATATTTTCTCTCCATGTCTTTTCCTGCTTTCCCTCTACCCTGTCAATCTGCCTCCTTTACTACGGCCAACACTCGCTCTTCCCCTCTCTCCACGTTTCCCTCCCCCTCTTTCGTTCTCCAGACTAGTCCTTAAAAGGAGAAGTGGCCTTGTCCTGTTTAGAGCTTGCGTAGTTAACCCCTTCTGGACTGTCAGTGATGGGTTAGTCCCTATACGTTGGAGCGGTCTGGGTGACAATTTAATGGCGGACACGCTAGCTAGGACATTGGCCAAAGATGTAACAACTCCCCATTGGTAGGCTATAGCCTAAGTCCAGAGAATGACTGAAGGAGGAAGGTTGTGTGGTCAGAGAAACAGCAGTGACGCATTGGAGGGTCTAGTGACCGCCATGTTTAAACCTACTAATGGTGGTGGTAACAAAGAGCACTATCTGACTCACATTTGCCCATTTAGAGTAACAAAGGCTTCTGAACCCACATTCTCAGGCGTATGTTTAAACGTAACAATTGAAAGCGTGTAAACTATCAAAGGAACACTAGGAAAGTAATGGGATTCGGCGGAATGCCTAGCAACCAAATATGAACATAGTGGCCTGACAGAGTTGGGTAGACTAGACTTGCTCCTGAAAATAGAGAATCAGAGTGTGGTGCTGGTGCCAGGCTGATGGATGTCACACACCATTTTATTATATTTTTTACATGTGGGTTTTGGATTGAGAGAAAATAACTGCTCCCAAATGCTCTGTGTGACCACCTGCCAATGTGACTGGTAACAATAGACATTCTACCAGCCAATGCCAAAATCTACCAGCATTTGGCGGCTGTTAATTTCGCACCCTGGTGCCCTTTCAGAAAATAAATGATTGAAGCTATGCAAAGACGCCTGTATCAAAGCCACTTGTGGATGGCTGAGGACTGAACTATTACTGAACCCCTGCACTTTATCTACAATGTGATTAGGCAAGGTCGCTGCCTGTCCACGTTATTCTCACTCCAATTGGTTTAGAGTGAGGACAGCACCGAGGTTGCCGGCCAGTCTGTATTCCCTCTGTACTGATAGGACAAGGTCGCCAGCGAACCAACACAAATATTTGTTCTGTGGGGGGTGTCAGACATCTTCCATGACCATTTTCATGTATTGTAGCCTATATGTCTAAAATGTAGTTGCTTGGGATAAAGGCATCTGCTAGTAAAAGGTAATATAAAAATAAAGTAATAAAGAAAGGTAACATAATGTATATAATGTTAGAATATATACCAATAAATATATTTGTTAAAGAGGCAGGTCCTGAAGTCCCACTCCCCCCAGTCTGGGGGGGGGGAATGGAAAAGACAGTCAGGGAAGGACAGCCATGACGATCTGTTTTCAACTTGATTTCAATTTCAACATTGATATTAGAGTGGACGCAACATGAGAAAATGTTTGCAGTCTCACTGGTAGCCATATCAGACTGAGGTTATTATGCATTCCATGACAATATGAATGATCAAAAAGGATGGTTTCCACATCCTGCAGTGTAGGGAAGCCAGGCCACGTAAGGTGCACGACCAAGTGACTAAACACAGTGACTGCCTGTGTTTCAACGTGGTGACTTCATATTGCACAACATGAAATGGGCAGGGAATGAGGAAGTGCCAAAGTTCAGATGCTTTTCAAAACGTGACTGATAAATCAAGCAGTAAACTGCATGCCTCGTTTGCCTCCCCAGTCACGCTCACAGGGAGAGACTTTAAAGCCAGTGTGGAGTGTGGCTCTCGAGGGACGCTAACCATTAGATTAGCCTAAATGCACAGTCTGGCCTGGTAATTAGGTCACCTGTTGCAAAACCGACAGGGACCACATTTGCCCTAGTGATGGGGGGGGGGGGGGTAGCTATAGTAGAGTATCACAATATGGGCCCAATCTCTGTCAATTCCACATAAGACTGACATCAAAGTTTATATGTAACGCAGAACTACTAGGATATTTCCAAGAGTGTATTTTCAAACTTCTGTGACAGAAAGAAAATGTAATGTTTTGGCATGTTCCTGGCAGTCATGCAGCTGGGAGTTTTATGGCCTGTTCATGGGATCCAAAATCTGGTTACAGCAACCCTGAAGCAAAGTGACCTCACAATGGTCTGCAGTCTGTCATGTCTTCATTCAGGTGACGCTCATCTATTCATAGGGCCTTGTACTGCCCTATCAGACAAGCTATGAAGTGCCAGTGTAAACCATTCTTTCTCTGCCTATACAAACTCCCTCTCTCAATACAACCCCCAGTCTTATTCCCCCCCCCCCCCCCTTCAGAGCTCATCTATTCCTCTTCGATCTAATAATAATAATAATAATATGCCATTTAGCAGACGCTTTTATCCAAAGCGACTTACAGTCATGTGTGCATACATTTTTTTTGTGTATGGGTGGTCCCGGGGATCGAACCCACTACCTTGCGTTACAAGCGCCGTGCTCTACCAGCTGAGCTACAGAGGACCACTCCCAGTCCAAGGTCACTGAGGAAAGAATGAAATGTGCAAAAGATAGGCTATTGGTTCAAATGAGCCCTAATGGCACTTCTACTTAGAGGAAAATAGGATTGAGGCAACAGTTTGTTTTCAAAACTATATCTTAATTCATTTAAGTAGCTTAAAGGGGCAATATGCAGTTCAAAGAATAACAAAGTGGTCACACCGCCACTGATTTGGTAAATAGCTAAGGGACAGGGCTGGAGAAATGTAAGCACTCAAATTCATAGACAGAGCTATGAACACAAGGACTGACCATCCATGAGATCAAAATGACAGTTTGTGCTGAGGCTATACGATGTTTGTTTACAATTACTTTGTTTACAAACAAAGGAGTAAAACAAGCTTGTATTTTGGGTTCTGATTGGGTAACACAATTGAACTAATCTCATGAGGCATTTATACGTTTTAGTCTTCAAGAATGTATGAATTTAAGTCAAAAATGTATGTAGCAATCGCAGAATAACCCCTTTTAACTACAGAGCTGAAAATTACTTCAGCTACTGTCGCTTATACAATAAACAAGCTAAAAAACTTAATTATCCGCTCTCAGTACATCAAGTTCAACAATGGGAACCCTATCATGCGGACAAAAAGTCTGCTATAATATGCCAATAACATTTAAAGAAATGTCCTAATGGGTCAGTGTCTGCCTCTCAGGGGGTATGAGAGGAGTTGTGTTATGCATGAGATTGTTTCCCCACCAAGAGAGAAATTCAAATAGATGTGATTGCAAACAGATCTGTAATGACACACACCCCACACATACATTCAATGAGGTAATTGCAATCAATCTCACAACCGCAAAATACAGCCAGAGATTAAACTGAATTCCAAGTCATTCCTCAGCCAATGAAAACACATTTAGGAATCGCTGTGATCACAGAGTGGAGCTCATTGACAAAAACAGAACGTCCATTCACAACAAAACAGCCCCTGAAAAGCAATGTGATCTGGGTCACGTTGTGCTCTCTGCCTGCAGAGAGCAGGAGACTTCCTGGCATCTTATGTCAGGGTACAGCTGGGGCTGGCAGATGTTATGCAGGCCACATCTTGTTTCTGTAAATAGGGTTTTTCATGGCTTGTGTGTGGTGAATGCACTTGTGTCATCATTGAGGACATTAAACAGTAAGATCAGCAGGCATCTGATATAACATGTCTAACCTATAGAACGTCACAGACAGGATTTAAGTTATAAGACTTACTAGTTTAGTTGGGGTTCTCCAACTCCAGTCCTGGAGTGCTACTGGGTGTACATACTTTTAGTCCAATCCATCTATACTCATCTCTATCAAATCAGTTTCAAATAACCAACTAAGCACTAAGCATGATCGTATTCAGTCTGGGCCATGATTAAGTGAATCAGGCTGCAACTTACGCTCGAAATCAGACTCGTCGGACCCATCTTCATCGTCTCCATTTGACTCTGTTTGCATCGGCTCCCCATCGAACACCACTTCCTTCCCGAGCTTGACAGCAGCACCGCCCCCATCTTGGCTTCTGGTGTCCCGCAAGCGCGTGAAATATTGCACGGCGAATTCCACCAGGTCTGCTGGCCTTTGTCGAAGCACCTCCACAGTGTAGCCTTGCAGCAACTCCGTCAATCCCACCGGTATCTCGATACTCATGACTGTTTTCGATGGTGCTATCTAACTAGAAAGATGTTCAGGTATACTGTGTTTTTCGTACAAAAATATATATGAATTCAATATCAGTCCATGTGTTGCACGCTGCAGCTCCTACTGGGGAGATAGCTGTTGTAAGTGTCAGCTTCACAAAACTGGGTTAGCTTGCTGACATTGATGAAGAGTTAGCGGGAGGTTGCAAATTTGCTTAGCTAGCTAACAAAAATGTCCAAGCAAGTAACGTAGTGACACTTTGTCGATGGGAGGCCGGTCTTGTTGTGTAAAGAAAGAAATATAACCCCAGTCACGTTAACGTTTGTTTATGATATCGGAGCTGTCAAGTTGGGTAACTAGATAGCTAGCTGCTGCTATAACAAGCTGACCAATTAGCTCGATGGCTAATAAATGGATGCCACAAACGATAACGAACGTTACGTTAGTTAGCTACAGTAACGTTACTATAGTTGGATCCCTCACCGTCCTCCCCCTGCTGTTCTCTTTACTTCGCCTCCTCTTTTTTGCTCGTTTCTTTGCCAGGGTAGCGACCAAACCGCGCCAGTTAGTGGTATATCCGATCAATAACTTAGCTGATTAGCGAACAGGCGACGTATAGTAC